TTATAGAGAATAACTTTCCAACAGACAATGACCAGAAAGTTGAGAATAAATAAAATTGCAGATTTTTTTTTTGCACTCCATAGATTTAAAAAAAAAAAAATAGGACTTTAATTATTAATTTTTTTTTTTTTTTTAAATTGGCAGTGAATGACTATTAGGCTTTTAAAGTCCAAACAAAAAGAAAAAAAAATGAATATTTTTTAACTCTTATGCATAAACTTTTCAGATAATGAAAACTCTAAAAATATTTACATCCATTGAAATGGATTTCTACAGAAGAAAAAGTGTTGCCACTTAAATATTAATTGTGACATTGTTGACAACATTTAAAAATAATAAAAAAAAAATCATTTTATATTAGAAAGACCTGATTGTCAACTACAAGGCAGCTTTTCCACCCCACCTTTTGAAAAGAGTGCCAGTTTCTAGAAATTTTTGAGCAGTCAAACAATTGGGGAGGGCGATTCAGAGAGGAGGAGTTTTGGTAAAATTAATAGATATTTGAAGATTTAAAAAAAACAATTTCAATAACATTTTAAAAAAATTACATTGTTTTAAAAAAACATAAAAATTATTAAAAAAAAGGGTAAAATAAATAATAAAATATACATTTTAAAGAAATTAACAAAGAACGGGTAACAAAAAAAAAAAAAAAAAAGAGACATGAGGTATCCATCTTGAAAATTTACATTAACAACAGTGATTGATGACTAATTCTGTCAATCCATCCCAGTGCCAGGTCAGCCTCTTGGAGAGGAAGGAACTGTGCCATATTCCAGTGTTGTTGGTGTCAGAATAAAAGAAAGAAAGAAAGAAACAGTGGGGAGGAAAGAAACACCGCTAGTACACAAGATGGCAGCCATGGAGAAAATTCTTTTTTAAATCAGTTAGCCAACATACACTTGATCGAACGCGGTGTAGACTCTTCATTTAGATGAAGCGTTGTATAACTGAAAAAGAAAAAATCCACATATATAAGATAAACAAATTTACACTCATATACATTAGTGTTTATAAAGTAATGTTTTACCAGAAAGGCTATAAGAAAAAAAAAGAAAAGTTAGATTTTATTTAAATATTATTTTATCAAATATGTAATCATGACAAAGGTAATCTTCCAGAGCAAGGTTTGTCATATGTTTCAATTGAAATTTTAAAACCCTTTACACTACAACTGACATGTGAGCTTAGATTGCATTTGTATACACTGCACAAATGTTTTTTTGTTTTTTTTTTTAAATACCTCTATAACATTACTATCCTCTCAGAATTCATACAGTAAACAATGGTGAATATATTGGTTTTTAATATTAGAATCTTCCATGGAGCTTAAATTCTGAAATGCCAAATAAATGACACTATCAGATGGAAAAGATAAATTCTAGATGTAGTTTCTTACCACTCAAACTTGATTGGCTGACTCATAATTCACAGTAGTACATAATTATTTTCCAAAAACCCTAGTGAGTGAGTGAATGAGTAAGTAAGAGAGAAAAAATAATGTTATGTTTATACATTTTATCTACTTTTACATTGTTGTAATTACTTATGGAATCATCATCATGTTTTTTTTTTTCCTTTTTTTGTTAAGGTAGGACTGGGATTAATCTCCCACAAAGCAAGGTGGGTCCTGACTGACAGATGATCTCCAGTTTACCTGTCAACATAATGAGAATTGTAAAAACCTTGCCTCAAATTATTATAAGTCCAGATGTTCTGCCTGATACCCAAATCAGACACTCATGGTAGTCCAAGTAGACTGTTTTTTTTTTATTGAGAAACCATCTCTAGGAAGGTTGCCATTCAAGGCTTGAGACCCCATCCTATGTGTGTGTGTGAGAGAAATGGGTAGGATAAAAAAAATCTACATACATGCACATATAAATATATTTCTTCAGGTGTTATAAATGCAGTGCTCAATGTTGTGAAACAGCTATAAAAATATATTAGTGAATCTACATAATATCCAACATCGATAGCACAACTGAGTTTCATCCAGTTCTTGCAATCTTCAGGTGCAAATATAATCTCTATATTTGCACCTAAAGAAGTGATAGATTTTTACTTATTAATCTGACAGATTCTATTACTTAAACATTATTTTAGTGAATAGCCATATTTGAGTAGACACTTCGTTTATTTATTAAACAGTATATTTATTTTTGTCTACCAGCCTGAATATTTGAGAAATCTAATTAAAGAAAAAAAAAATGCACTCTCCGACATGATTTAAAACTACATCCTCCTTGGTAGGTGAAACTGTCGTTAGATCTGATGTGCATTAGATTGTCTTGCCCATGTAGTGTGTCGATGATCAAGCAAAGTTGAATAGTACCCAATTTTATATGGATCACAACAGCAAAAAATCAATTAATGTAATAACAAAAATGAAAATTTTTTCAAATAAATGACAACTGGGAAAGTCAAACTGACTTAATTGCTCCAAAGAACTGTAACAAAGACAATGTGTCAGTGCCATTTAAAATCCTGTTTTATCAAAAACTAATTAAAATAAAAGGTTTGTTTAATTCTGTTAAACTTTGAAAACAAAGTTTTGCGAGCAACTGGCTTGTGATATAGCCTTTTTCTTTTTTTTTTTTTTTTAGATATAAAACCCGAGAAATTATCCTATGTTAAGAGTTCCTAAATCTTCAATTAGTTCAAATTTGCTATTTTTCATTTTGAAGAGAAATCAAAACAAAAACAAGACAAAATATAATTCAGTTTCTCTTTGTGGTTTGGCAGGAAATCTACTGTTTTCAATAGTAATTTGAATTTAGTCGTCGTGAGCTTCATTTAAAGGGAGCTAACTACATAAAATGTTAATTCAAAGATGGTAAAAAGAAAAAAAAGGAAAAAAAAACCGCTAAGCCTATCAGAAGATAGAATTTTTATTCTGAATAACTGTTCAGCCCATCCTAAAGCTAAACTGCTATGTAGGGATAAAGTTTACTTACCACTAAATTGTATTCCTTACTCAACCCTAAGAGTAAAGAATACTTTACACTATGAAGGCAAAATATTACTTTTCATTTAAGCCCATGTTAGATTTAGCAAATTTTGGCAAGCTTTTGTTTTTCTTTTTTAATAATCATAATCATTTCACTTCAACCAAGGTGAGAATGCCTCTAGCACATACGGGGTTACAGAGAGTGAAAGTGAGAGAAAAGACTGTGTATAGCAGGGATTGAGGAAAGGATAAAAGACAAAAGAGGATTCAAGATAGAAGATGGCGATTGACGTTGCATTTTTGAAGATCATAGTTATCAGGGAATCAAATAAACAGGAGGGAGTTCCACAGGCAGGAAAAGAAACTGTTGGAGTAGAAGTGGCTGTTGCATTTAACTATTTCAACAGTAAAAGGGGTGGGACCTAGATGCCAATCTAGTAGCACATTTAAATTCACATAGTTGAGGCACCAGCTCATCAGAACAGTTGCCATAAAAATATTTGTAGAAAAGACAGAGGGAAGCCACATCACATCAGTGAGAAAGTGACTGAAGTTGAGATGCCAGGTCAGGATCAATTACATTGCAGATCCTCCTTTGGATTTTGTCAAGAACCTTGTGATGAATATAGCAGGAGTACCAGATTAGATATAGCAACAGTATTCAATGTATGGATGGATAGTAGATTTGTAAATGTGCAAGATTGACTGATGAGAAAAAACCTGGCATGACACGGTGACCCAACTTTCCTTGCAGTAGATGTAGCTATTGATTCAATGTAGTTGTTCCACTTCAAATCAGTTGAAAACGAAATGAGAGCAGTTTTGTTTTACAAGCCATTTCCTGCTCCAGTTAACCACTGATTGGAGGTACTTTTCAAGAGCAGTGGCCAGGTTAACTTTGTTAGCTCTGATGGATTTGCTATTGAGACAAAAGTAAATGGTAGTGTCATCTGCATAAATGCCTACTTAGGAACTGATGATGTCAGGAAGATCATTGATGATGATCAGAAACAGTGTAGGACCCAGGATAGAGCCTTGGAGGACACCTGCGTTTGTATGAAAAGATCTGGAAGTGAGTCCATTTAAAATGACCTTCATGTCACGATTTGATAGGAAGAATTGGATTAAATCAAACAATCGTCCTGTAATACCATAGCCCTGGAGCTTACAGAGAAGACTAGTGTGCCAAACCCTGTCAAACACCTTCAAGATATCTAGAAGCCACAGCTTGAGCTTTGCCATTATTATCAAGAGCTTGATATACATATTCAGTGATGGATGTTAGTACATCAGTGGTAGATCTGGCAAAAGAGAAGACATTGTTTGTCAGAGAGTAGGTTGTGAAAGGTAAGATGCTTAACCACTTCAGCATTGATTAAAAGCTTAAATACTTTGCCAAAAAAGCAGTAGGAGACTAATAGGTGATAATTAGAGGGGTCAGAAGGTTCTCCAGAGTTCTTAAAATAGGAACTACAGAGGAGGACTTCCCACAAGCTGGAAAGCAGCAGCAAAGCATTAGTTTGGGGAGAACTGGAGCCAATTTGGGAGCACATTTCTTTAGGACAATGGCTGGGGATATTATCAAAGAATTTAATAAAAGAAATATTTAAATTTCTCACAAATCAAATGTAGTTGGCTACAAAGAATTTCACAATAAAGCAAGGCTCTATTTTGCATTTAAAGCACATTGAATAGATGCTCCATTTATTTTATCGAGCAGTTCAGACAGTGGTTCCTCCTGCATAGGGGGACATGGGTTTGAATCCTGCTGGAGGTCACATTTTCTTTAAATTTTCTAACCTAGTAGACAAAATAGATTCTATGTAAAATAAACAGAGCATCTACTGAAAGATGGGTAAAGTTCACAACACTTTAGCTTATGGGCTACCATAGATCTCCAGAATTTCCTGGCCTTTGTAGTTCTTAATAAAGTGTCTTTTTGCTGACCAATATTTCACAACTAATACTTTTCATTTCAGTTCTTTTTCCATAAAATACAAGTTTATGCATCAAGTTTTATTAACTTGCAAATGTCACTTAACCTAAGGACTTCTAGAACACTGGTTCCAGTATGATCAACAAAGTTAAGCAACATAGAGTTTGGTCAGTACCTAAATGGGTGACCACTTGGGAATACCAGGTGTTATGAATAATGGCTTGGAATTGTTAATCAGAGAGCCAAGTTCCAATTCCAGTCAGGTTCATTATATTCACTTACATGCAAATACCGCTAGGAAAGGTATGAATCCACCTTTTCTCCCACTCCAGATATGGGCTAATTATTAAAAGCTGTATCATAAAATCATTATTATCTCAAAAAAAAAAAAAAAAAAAAAAATGAAATTCTTAAAATTTTAAATATTTTCTGGCTTTAAATAAACTGCAAAGGGTTAATAATATCAAACAACCCAAGAAGAAAAAAAAAAAATAAAAAAAAATTTAAAAAAACTTACCGCAGTGCATTCATAAGTACTTCAACTTTTTCACTTTCCTGATCCTTAAGGAGTTTGAGGCAACTTTTTACCTAAGAGGGGAAAAAAAATATAAATGTATATCCAGGTTTTCTTTTTAATAGAAGCAATAGGCATAAACATTTTTATAAATTATAATAAGGAAATAATTAAATAATAAAAAATAAATACAAAATAAAGTACTTGCCCAAGAATACAATAAGAAATTTTTAATTTTACAAGCAAGCGCGCGAGTGAGAGGGCCGGAAAGGGGCAGCAAGCGCGCGAGCGAGATGGCCGGAAAGGGGCAGCAAGGGGAGAGGGCAGGAAGGGGCAGCAAAGCCTTGTGAGCGAGAGGGCAGGAAGGGGCAGCAAGCGCCATGAGCGAGAGGGCCGGAAGGGCAGCAAGCAACGGCGAGAGAGGGCAGGAAGAAGGGGCAGCAAACCCGAGCGAGAGGGCCGGGAAGGGGCAGCAAGCGCGCGAGCGAGAGGGCCGGGAAGGGGCAGGGGCAGCAATCACGTGACTGAGAGAGCCGGTAGAAGGAAGTAAGTGATGGGGGAGTAAATGTGTATATGTGAATGTAGTTGTTTCAAGACATGTCACCTCAATGATTACCTCTTTGGTGGTGGTGGTTGTTCCCATTCTTGACATTTGTGATTTAAAGTACAGAAGTGGAGACTGTAGTGTTTTGGAGATGAAAACGTAAACCCATTTTACCAAATATTTGCCCAACCCATTCTTCAATGTGGCACAAAATATTTGAGTGGGGAATCTGTATTCTAACTATTTTTACAGTACACAGATAAAAACTGCCTTTGGATCTAGTAGCAAGGCCAGAAGAGTATACACTTTATTCTACTATTTTTAGTGTAATGGGGAGATATTAACTAAGACAGATCTCCAGCCACTAGGTTACAATTTTTAGTATATCTCATCTCGAGACAAATTCTGGTTAGACAACTGTAAACCTGAGTTAAAGTTTCAATTCTTTATTATGGATAGAAAAATATACAACTAACCAGAGTTACGGCCCTTTCATCTAAAAGAATTATTTGCAATCATGTCATTAAGACGTAAAATATTCATCCTAATTTGAAAGTTTTGATCTTTGGAGTAAAGATGTAATATCTAATAATAGATTTATTTTTTTTTTTTTAATTCTCTAAAGTAAATAGGTCTTTCATTTTATGTTTTCAACAAAATTAGCTAAAATATAAATGAAATAAAGCAAACTGTAATGTTCATGATTTGTTGATTATTTGTCACCACAAAACGCCTCACCCACCAGGGTTTTTTTTATTTTTAAATATAAAATGTAAATAACTACAGTATCAATATATAGAAAACATTTTTCTGAGACACAAACTGGAACAGTCAATAAAAACATGCTTCAGATTCAAGCAATTTAGAAACTGCAAGGTTTTGTGATAGATTAACAGCCCCAGCTAACTGAAATAATTCAGATTAAATTTTTCACTCTTTTGGATGGCAATCCTTAAAATCTTAAATCTACTCTAGATTTACTGTCTTGAGAGTGTATCTACAAATCCTCTGTGGTTAATATATGACTGGGCTTCTGCAGCCTATCAGCTGTTTTTATTAAACTGGTATTGAAACAATGTGGGATACAAAAGAATCTTAAAACTGAGTTGAAATTAGTAACATCTAATTTAAAAATGATACAATTAGAGGGTAGATAGATAAAGTGTGTCGGAAAAAAAACAGGACTAATGTCAAAAACAATTTATTTCAATTCCAAACAAATTACATGGTTTTCCCTTCAAAGTTATCTCCCCTCGAGTCTAATGCACTTTTCCATCCTTCTCTGACACACTTCTATTCACTGCTGGAAGGATTCTTCTTGGATACTCCTCAGCTCCATCATTATGGCCCTCTTGACCTTCAAAGTGAGTCCCCTTGATGATCCCGTTAAGCTTGAGGAAAAAGAAAAAAGTCATAGGTAGCAAAGTCAGGTGACTAGGGAGGTTGTCCCAGTATGGCAATATTCTCAGGCAGGAACTGTTGCTTGCTCAGGGCATTGTGAGCAAGTGCACGGTCATGGTGAAGCAGCCATGATTTGTCCTACCACAAATCAATTCTCTGCTTGCACACTGAGCAAAGCAAATGCCGCAGGATCTTTTTGTAGATTGATGATCAATTGTCTGGCCTTGTGGCAAGAACTAACTGGATGATTCCACTCAAATTGAAGAACAGATAAGTCCTGTTACTTTCCAGACATACACACACACATATATATATATATATATATATATATATAATATATGCACTGTTACATTAGAACAGATACATACCCACTACAAAACTGTACATCTTGTTTCAAAGTTAAAAATAACATTTCTTCAGGTGGGAACCCACAATGCTACTAAATTATTTTATTCTGAAATACAGTTAACGAAGCATATCTCACACTTTCGTCTTTTACTACAAAGCTAAACATTTAAATATGGAAGTGGGAGATATGCTTCGTTAACTGTATTTCGGAATAAAATAATAGCATTGTGATTTCTCACCTGAAGAAATGTTACTTTTTAATGTTGAAACAAGATGTAGTTTTGTAGTGGGTATGTACCTGTTCTAATGGAACAGTGCATAATAAATAAATATTTATTGCTTTACTTTTGTATTGAGCCCTGTTTTAAAAACAAAAATTTTAATTTGTTCTTTTACATTTGGAGATATATATATATATATATATATATAATCCTACATTCATATAACAAATGTGAACCACATTCTGTCTAACCAATGCAGATTTGGTAGGGGCAAAAAGAAAAAAAATCCATTTTTCTGATGAAGCCATTTCATCACTGCAACATGCCAAAATAAGTCTTTACCAAATTGTTATATATTTACCATATCTTAAGAGAACAAGTTATGGTAACTCCCTTTTATTGTTTGGGTATTTTTCTCACCCATGATAAATATTTATTTAATTACATTTTATCAACACTTTTTTACAATTAATAAAATAAATAAATAAATAAAATAAAGGAAGGGAAGTTTTATGATCCCTATTTACTAGGGATCATCAGCATGTCTGGTTTTATTTCTCTTAGGGTTCATTGTTGTCTCACAGTAGAGTAGCCATAGAAATGATTTTACTTGAATGTTACATTATGACTGGATTGCATTTGAAAACAGCAATTCTAATTACAAGCCATTATGTTGGTAGAGGGAGGGGGGAGAGAAACCTTTCACATTTACACAATGCTTGTAAAATACAAGATAGTAAAGTCAGTTATTAATTAGCATAGTATCCATAAAAATTAATGACATTTATAAATGGATCAGCACTTTTGCCTAGGATGAAAATGTAGCACGTGTGCTCTGGCTACAACTTTATTTTCTGTCTCCATGTTGTTTATTAATGGTTATAGAATTAGTTAGGCAAGCATCAAGTAAAAGCAAATTAAGAAAAAGTACTAATCAAAAACTAACAAGTCATAATGATTCATCTAATAAAAAATATGCTTACTATAAGTCAACAAATATTAATGATAGCAGTACCAAGTTTTCTAAGAAATAAACCAATATAGTTAAGATTACAGCTTCTACAACAGTTGGCACTTTCATAGCCCAAATAGAGAAATTACCACTCAAAAACAAGCTTCCCAAAGGGCAATAGGAAACAAGTTAGTGTCCCACCAAGAGTATTTTGTAATTTCCAATCTACAGTATTTACTAATGACTATACAATAATATCAACTGAAATTAAGATTAACAAAATACTAGTCAAAAATATTTCATCAAATAAAACTTCAAGATATTAACTGCAGATGTTAATATTGCTCAATGATAAGGCATAGAATTGTTTATCAGTTATATATTGGAAGCAAGTAGCTGGGCATTATATATATATATATATATATATTTTCATTCAATTAACCAAGAAAACTTAGTGACTTAGATTTTATTACTAGTACTCTATTAAACCAAATTTTATTTTAGATTATCAGAGCAGAACTAACTAAATGTTAAGTGATCAATGTTTAAGAAATCTTATATTTTTAGGAGAGAAATGTGAGGTAATTAATTAAATTATTATAAATGTTTGGTTTGTTAGTTTCTATTATTGAAGCTATTTGCAGATTTTCATGGCTCCACATTTTTACAACTGATTTCATGACCATGTCCGTTTGCCAGTAGACATCTGCATATCAGATTTTATTGTCAGGCCTTTCACAATAAAAATGGTACTAACCAACAAATATTCAGAAAATTCTTAGATACTTATAAATATACCATGCGATTTTCAGTTTATATCTGTTTTTATTAGAAATATCTACAATAAATTATTTGGTGACATGAGATTTTATGATGCAACCTGAAGGTTTTTCATTTTATATATATATATATATATATATAACGTCAGTTCTATCTTGGTTCAATAACATCGAGCATGACACTTTAATGGAATGACTATTATGTTTATATAAATATCATTATGTATGTTTATATGATGCACTATGTATTTAAATTTTTTTTTTTTTTTTTGAAGAGACCAAATTTTTTTAGAGTTTACATTTTAATTTATATGTATATGTGCGTACCTGTGTGTATGTAAGTATAGTTAGACGGATAGATATAGGGATACATTGTTTATTAGTTTAGATGGGTGTATGTAATTGTATGGAGATGTAAGGTTTTATGTATATATGTTTATGTGCACGTAT